CGCACAATATTTTTTTTAGTACACCTAGCTGTGAGCGACCAACTAAAATGCCGGGATTGTGTGGTTGTCTAAGTGAGGTGGAGGCTTGCGGGAGTTTCGTTACTGGGGATCCGCCAGAAAAGGGACTGACTCATTTGAAGATCTAAGTAGGGGTAGGAGAAAAGTAATTAACTGAAAATGCCCTGCTATGCAAATAAAGTTTTTCAAAACTGTAGTTTAACCCTTGCAGGTTTTCCCATACACACCTTACAATAATTTCACTGTTTTCTTTAAGGAAGAGGCTAATTAATCAGGGGCACCCAACGTCAATTTTCGGAAAATATCTGTTAAGAAGACGATTTGAGATCCAGAATTTTCGGAACATTTGTTGTAAAACTTCTTGCTTGCCTGCCTCTCCTAGGATTTTCGAACATCTAAAAAATGGTCTAATTGCTCATTTTTAACGGATTTTTACCCTTAAAAGGTCACCTAGAATTTTGGGGAGCCTTTTTTCTGGCTGAAATTTTCGAAAAGGTAAGTTTTGATCCCTATAATTTTCCGATCACTAAACTTTCAGCTAGGAAATCCAAACAGCTGAAAAATTTTGGGGGGATAAAAATATGCCTATATCTACCGTTTAAATACTAAAATACGTTTAACAATGCTATGTTTAAGTGGTTTTGAACTATATTCTCGTTGGGTGCCCCTGAATTCTATTCTGGTTTGCAAAAGAAAAAAATTGTCAGGGTTACCCACAGGCAAACGAATGCCCTTGCAGTGTTTCTGCTGTAAACTTTTACCCATGGACACAACAGAAAATTTTACAAAATTAATGAACTATTCTGGTTTATATAAAAGCAAAAAAATCACAGGGTTAAATCACAGGCAAATAAATACGCCAGTGTTTCTGCAGCGCAAAGTAAACTTTTACCCAAGGACACAACAGAAAATGTTACAACATTGATTTATTCTGGTTTGCAAAAAAAAAATTATTAGGGTTAAATCACAGGCAAATAAATCCCCCTGTGTTTCTACTGCGCTTGGTAAACTACTACCCAAGGAGACACGCTTTTAGGTTCCGCACTGCGTTATGAAAATTGTTTTGTTTCCAAAGGTTATTACAATATTCAAACTTATTTACCTATTCTGGTTTAAAATGGAACAAACGCTGGATTTGGCGTTACTCGCTTCACGTCGGCTTCCGTTTCGGCATGTTTTCTCAGCCCGTTTCCCGGAAGTTGTGCTACTTGGGTGAGACGATCTCTTCAATCCAAGACCCTTCAACTCCTCATAACGGGAAAACTATCAGGGGTAGACCCGTGTAGACTCCAAAATTTACAAAGAGGTTGAACTAACGAGATGAACAAAATAATCCGATAAAGCCGCTAACAGTAACCAGCAATGAATCCAAGAGGAACGGCGAAAATAAGACTTAAATCATCGTGGCGGCTTGCTCATGACCGAGCAATTCAAACTTGTCTCCAACTCTCAAGAAAACAAAATATTTAAGGTAACGTAACTACTATCAAAATAAAGTGTTCCAACAACTTTTCATGGCGGTATAGTGTCAAAATTACCTACCCAAGCTTGGAATAAAGGGAAGATTTCATCATATACAACTCTGAAAACTCTACAAATAACGCGTTGTGATTGGTCGAATCTCGTGACGCACACCGACTGCGCGTCACTTATGGTACGTGAGTTTGGGCCGCCTGTGTTGAAATGTGAATTGATCTGGTTTACTAAACCAAGGCCGCTTTGTTCTAAACAAGGTTAAGCTAATCCAGGGCTACTGCCGATTTTCAATTCTGTTTTAAAACTGAATGATGAAGACTCATGTAAATTCGTTTCCTCCTAAATCTTAACTTAGGCTGCCCCTGTACGACTAGGACGTGTAACTAATTGGCTAATTCCACGTGTTATGGAGGACGTACTGACAAGCAACGACAATTTTAAAAGGACTCTTAATCTTCTTCAATAAAAACAACCATCACTAATTTTTTTGGCCCAGTTCTTCGAAGGCTGATTAGTGCTAATCCGGATTAATTTTTGATCCTCATTTCTTTTCCTTTTGTTCAAAAGCATTTAGACTTCCTACAAGTCAACCTCATGAGTTTCTTAGCGAGCGGCCAAGCGAGTGACGAAGTCACGAGAGAACAAAGGACTTTTTTGAAAGTCAAAAAAGTATTTTCCGGGTTAATTTTCTCAGTCTATTCTTTTTAGAGCATCCACTTAAAAAATCACATGCAAAAAGAATTAAACTGAATTACTTTTAAAGCTTTCATACCTGAATTCAAATTTCGCAATAACCCTGGGTTCGCTTAACCCACCTTTCAACAAACCCGCCCTGGTTAAGAAAAAAATTGGGAAAACGAAGCTTTCCGTTGAGTCTATTTTCTTAGACTACGCTGAATCCTTGAAGTTTCCCTAATACCATAAGACAGCCAAAATATAGTCATATGTGCATTGGCGGAGAATTAGAGCTGAAAAGTGGAAAATTACTTAATAAAAATAATAGTTTAAAGAGGTAGATATAGTTAACGTGTTAGAACGCCTTCTTCCAGCCATTAACCCAGAAAAGCCTTTGCAAAACGTTATTTGGTCTTTCACCACACAGGGTGCCAGAAGTTTTTTTCTCATTGGAACCCGCGAAAGCGAGTCGCGAAGCTGCGAGAAAAAAATTCTCTCTCGCCGACCAGGCTCCGGTTGTTCAAAAGCTGGATTGCGCTATCCACCGGATAAATCACTATCCAGTGGATACGTATTAGGGATTGAAACTGATTGCGTTATCCACTAGATAGAGTTTTATAACCAGTGGATAGCTTTATCCACGTCTTGAACAACTGGGGCCAGCACTTTAGCACTTCGCAAAAAAGGAAAAATAGCGCCGCTATTTTTCCTTCGTCTCTTCCCATGAGACCCCGCGCGCCTTAACCTAACCCCCAATCTTCTTTCACCCCCAAAAAAACATAAATAGCGCTGGGTAGGAGCCTGAGATATATCTATGACCGTGAGGTACCATGGCTTAAATGACGGACAAACAAAGGAGTACCGCGACGTTAATAAAAACTTATCAGGTCATGCAGTCATTCATTGGTCAAACCATTTACGTGATTACTAATTTGAAATGAGAAATGACAAAGTATAAAGCAAGTCAAGTGCGGAACAATATTATTTTAATCATACTGATAGCGTTACAGGTATTTCAGCCAGTCTATATCTAATAAGGATTTTACACAGCATCAAGACAATAGTTAAATGTGTAATCCCTAGATTCTTATTTAAACCTCTCCGTTTATAATTTACACTACTGACAGTAATAAATACGATCGTTTACGAAAAATTCGCCGTGCACTAAAAACAACTTCGGTGAAATCCAACATGACGGTTGATCTTCTCAGTTAGTGGCTAACTTTTAAGGCTCGTCATTCAGTTAAAACCTTAATCACAGTTAATAGCTTTATACTTCTTTGATCGCATACGCTGATTGTTGGAAATCCTACTCAGTCCCGCTTTTTTTTCTACGTGAAAGATTAGTCTATGCTAGCCTAGCAAAAATCTTTACACGCTATAAGGGAGATTTACATTCCTGGATGATAGGCTCCTGATTAGATCTGGAGGGCCTTACCGTTACACTTTTTCTTTCTTTTTTTTTTTTACACTTAAAGCTCTTTTTATGTTTGTTTTAATTCTTTCAGTATTTTCTTAGTTTAGTTTTTAAGTCAATAATTATGCATTTAATGTTTATACTCGTTCCGTCTTAAACTGTACGATTATTGGGGATGCTCCTTCTTCTCCATATTAATCAGAACTAGCCTCAGGTGGCATGTTGTAATACGGACGATCTTCATTGTGTTTGTTTACATTCAAATATGGTGCATCCCTTTCCATTATCGCCTCCAGTTTTTCGATCAAACGGTAGAAACTAGGACGAATGTAAGGGTCTTCGTTCCAACAGTCAGAAATCAGCTCATATCTGTTATGAATAGGAAAAAAAAATAGAATCATTCAATGCTAATTAACTAGAGCTCCAGTCAATTATTAGACCGTGTCAATATATAAGCCACTTTATAGCTTGTGTGTTTTGTTTTCGCAATAGAGGTCCCAGGGGAATTTGACCCTTTGTCTACTATGCATACATATGCACTTGAATAACACGAAATTTGAAAGAAACAGTTCCTTGGAGTATTATCACATGACCTGTATTGGGAAACAAAACATACAAGCGAAAGGGGTCTATTGGAATGAAAGAAAATTTTTTAGTAGGAAATGCCTCTTAGCTTCATGAAATGAGACCCGGGAAGGCTCCGCCCCGAGATCCAACCCCTTACCATTTTGTATATTATTATTTTTTGACAGAGAACGTACCCCTTTGCTATACACTCTATTGATAAGTGGCACTGTACCCCTTTCACGATCTAGTTCAGAGAACTTTTTATCCCTTTTAACAGCTGTAAAAGCATTTCCTTTTAAATATGAGTTAAATCACGAAAATAGAAAATTTTCTCGACTTTTTCACAGCAAAAAAATTTTCTGTAGCCCTCTTAAGTCATTTTACAGATCGAAATGACAGACTTTCCTTTCATATACTTCGGCTAGCGAAATTCCTGTACTAGAAGACGGAGAAAGGTATCCCTTTCGGGCGGAGCCTCTCCCTACAGGCCATTATAAGGAGTACTCCCCCCGGCCCCAGGAAAGGGATTAACTTAATCACTGCTAATAGTGCTTTTATTGGCCATAAAGCTTGGAGGGTTTAGAGCAAAACCTACAATGTGTTATCTGCTTTATCTGAAATGGCAAATGGTTTTGAAAATGTGGTCTAGTTGTTTCCTTGTTAAAAAAGTGAGGATCCCAACAAATGTTTACCCTTGCCGTCCGTCTGGTCAGTATTTGATATGATCATAGAGTGGGTTAACATATTTGACGAATTCGTATGTTGCAACGTTTGCTGTGAGTTATAACTGAACAGAGGCACGGAAAACTTAAGTTGAATCTAATTGTTAATTCTAAGACGACCCTGATCAAAAAACGTACACGTCATCGGAGCACATGTCAGGCCTTTCCATGCGATAACCAGTACCGAGCAGTCGATACAGCTCTGAGTTGGTCAGCGTGGGGTATGGTACGCCTCCTGACGATTGCAAGAAAGAAAACAAATGATTACATATCGGCAACTGAATTCATGCAATTTTTCATTAGATAGATTTCTATTTAAGATGCCACAGTCGATTGTCACTTCTCCTCATATATACTCAATAAGGCCATTTTGCAAAAATCGGTGATTGAATGGAGGTCTGATAGCCAGTGCAGTTAAATGTGTCATGAAAGAAGGCAGGGTGATTAATGATAAGGCACCTCTCGTTTCCAGTGATCAAATGTTTGCAAAGTTTATGTATTGTCACTTACCGTTCATTCAAAACATTTCCCTGTTTCTGATCGGTTAAAACCACACGAATAATTCACCATAAACAGCTACTGTTGACCAAATTTGGGAAGAACTTTGTCATAGTGAATCAATGACGTCAAAACGACGTCAAAAGTGCAGCAAAATTGCACTATTGAACCGTTTACTGAGAAAACTGTGGGACGAAGTTGAGTTGTTTGATAGTTAGAACAAAATGGCAGAACTGTCGCGGAACATGCATTTTACTTGTTTCATGGCGAAATATTATCTAAAAACATCGCAAGAACAGCAAAAAGACAACTCGACGGAGTTGGAGTATATTTGCAGACTTTCCCGATAAAGATGCATTAGTGATAATTGAACTTACCGTCGAACCTCTCTAATACGGACACCGAAGGGACAGAGCGAAGTGTCCGTAATAGAAAGGTGTCCGTATAAAAGAGGTCACTACGATGACGTCACCTTTATGACTCCACTTACAGTTTTAATTGTTCAGTAGCTAAAACCAGGTTTACAGTCGACTTTAAACTGTATTTAAAGTTATCGATTCACAGTACAATGACACTGTCTATCAGTAGCATACAACATAGTACATCTCGGCAACAGACACATTACTGTTTTAAAACGAAACGAGCTAAAGCGCAATGCTGCATGTTAAAAGTTGTAACGTAAATTAAAGCACAATTCTGAAAGCGTCTATCGCTATTTTGCAAGTGTAAAAAACACTAACTAGAGTACAAAATGTAATAAGCAAGATCTTTATGCTATCTGTAGTTATTCAAGCCTTCAAAAAGTCCAAAATGTTCCTCTGTACACCTTTCACAAATCGTTGTTTGGTATACAGCGACTGGGCTTTATATCACTTTGCATAGCTATATAGCACATCAGCCAGACTAGACGGGATTCACCCTGTGCAGATTTACCTGATCGGGATTCGGCATTCGCCTGATCTCCGCAGTGTCCGTAAGTGTAATAAAGTCCGTAAAATTAAGTGTCCATTGTTCGTATTAGAGAGAGTCCGTACTAAAGAGGTTTTCTTTTTTATATAAAATATATGAGAATTTTGTCGGGACATTGGAAACTGTCCGTAATACAGAGGTGTCCGTATCGAGAGGTTAGACAGTATATCGACCGAGGTTAACATGTTTTAGCTCGTTTTTAAACCGGTGAAATTATTTTAAAGGAATAATAAAACAATTATTGAATTCGGCTTTCGTAGGATACGAAGAATTCTGTAGATCTCGGATGGTGTTATCCACCTCGGCTGATAACACCCTCCTACACCGTCCTCGATCTGCAGAATTCTACATATCCTACGAAAGCCCAATTCAATAATTGCTAAATATGCTTTTTAATTATCATCTAGGAGATGTCTCAAAGCACTTAATCAATTAAGACAGAGCCCAGATCAGACAAAAAATTCCAACTTGCCGCAAATGGAACATTTAAGAAACATTGTTTTCGCCCCTCCTGGTGGCGGTTGCCTTGATAACAATCTTAAGAGTTAATCCATATCCCACCATGGCAAAAGGGGGAAGGTGGGTTCAGGCACTGTCACCTTGATTCCCTTGGAAGGCTGAAAACTTTGAAGTGAAACAATTATCCTGTGGGTCGTGCATGAATTTTCAACATTTTGACATCATTTCTACGGTCGAAAAGAGTCATTGACCATGAAAATTTTTTTGTTGATCTGTTATTTAACCTCAAATTTAAACCGCAAAATTATACCGTCCACTCACCCAAGGTAGCCATTTCCCAAAGAACAACACCAAAAGACCAACTATGAGAAAAACCAAAGAGGTTATAAATATGTACAGATTCACGGCATTTAGATTGTTTATTGCCCTATTTATCTCTTGTCTCCTTTTATTTGTCATGGACGAGCCCAAAAATTCGTGTATCTCTTGAGTTTTGGATATAATTGGAAAACCGTTAAGGACTGGAAGAATCCGTTTTTAGCAGCTATATTTTAGACACGGATGCCTTCAATACTATGATTCCATATTTGGGCAATTTCCATGCTTCTAATTGGACGGCTAAAAATCCTAGCATGCCATTTTATATAAACAAATAAGGGGAATTTAGGCGCTTAATCGGATTTATATGCTTCTGTAATTTTTACGGGAACTAAAATTTTGAGAAGCGATTCAGTAGAAAAGTTTCCTTCTCAAGGGAGCGGGAATCGTGAACTCACACATCACTTTTGGTGGTGTAAACGCCTTGATAAAGTGATTCTGGGGCCATCCACTTCACAGGAAGTTTTTTGGACTTCGCTGAGGTGCTCACTTCATCATAGATTTGTCTCATCAACCCAAAGTCTGACACTTTGATCCGGTTGTCATAGCCAACAAGGACATTACGGGCAGCAAGGTCTCTGTGAACAAGATTGTTTTCGGCGAGATGATTCTAACAACAAATAAGCAACGAAAGAACAATCAAAATTATGTCAAAACATAATAACGGTGGTATTCCGAACACTAAGTAATTAAGTATAGACAAATGAAAAGTAAATATCGGCACTGATCTGACTCAAACATTAACGTTCAGATGCGTAAAGAAACGAATTTAGCCGAAACATAATAACGGTGGTATTCCGAACACTAAGTAATTAAGTATAGACAAATGAAAAGTAAATATCGGCACTGATCTGACTCAAACATTAACGTTCAGATGCGTAAAGAAACGAATTTAGCCGAAACTGGGTCGACCGATCGACTAAGAATTTTCCATGTTAATGAAACAAATAACTGTACTTCTATCTAGAAAAACAACCAATTTATTTATCCCATCTATTCCATGCTTATAAAATGCTGACTTTTGAATTCTTCTTTCCAGTTATACTCAGAATCAGAATCAAAGCAACATTATCCAAAAAATAAAAGTAGTTACCATTCCTTTAGCTATCTGCCAGGCAAATAAAAACAGTTGTTTCGTAGAAAAGTTCTCCTCTTCGTCACTTAGATCCTTTTCGATTGAAAGAGACATCGAGGAAGCCTGACTTATTCCTGGTGACACTGATGTGCTGGTTAGCAATTCTTTGTCGGTTACTTTGAATTGCTCAGTCTAGTTAAATTGATAAAAAAGAAACTATCAAATATTGGTTTAGCTTGAAACAGCACAACTTTCAAGTTACTTACCTTTTTAGTAAATAAGTAACCAACCGTTAAAAAGATTTTTTAAAAAAAACTGACATAATTTGTCGGAGCCAGACACTAGGTATTATCTATCAGAAGTTGCTTCAAAGTGACAAGTTTAGAGCGAGATAACAGGTACCCTGGCTCTGTGGGTCAGTTCTCAAAATATAAAGGACGAATTAACCCTGCCCCCCACAATTTGAAAAACTTAACGTGGCCTCAGCGAACTATGTTTGCGGGAAAAGCTCTGGCACCTCCTGGCACACACTGGGGTTTGGTTTACAAACAAAATACACACCATCTAGACGATTCCAGCTATCGTTCTTGAAATGACAATCCCAAAACTGAAAATACCTCAAGAGAATGAAAGTGGGACGTTGTGACGTAATTCAGGACGGCACAGGATGGGTAAACGAACGACAAAAAACTTCAGTGGCACAGGGAAACCCAGATCAGGTTGTGTTCTTCTTACGTCAAACCTAACATAATGAGGTGCCCTAGTGGCATTTTTCTTTAGTAGTGAAAAGTCATTGTGGTGTTTTTATTCTCGTCGTACACCTACTTCCGTCGAAGTCGATGGAATCACTTCAAGAACGGCATCTTTGTTGTTTTGTGGCGGAGAAACTGCAAAGTTTACTTGGTCCAGGTGTGCAACAATGGGGAAACTTTGCTAAACGATAAAGAAAATGGCGATGGCATTTACAAGTAGAAAAAGTGTTACCCTGTATTGAAAATAACGCAATCATTAAAACATGGAGTCAAGGTTAGACAGACTGCTGTATCTTTATTACTATTTGTGAGTCCTAAATTGCAATCGCTCGAACCCCCATACAAACTAAACCTTTATGAAAGGTTCCACAACACCGATTCCCACTCCTGAACAACACCAATTTCAGTACTGAAGCACCCGTACTTGCTCCACGGCATGGCCATTGCCTTACGCATGCGCACAACAATATCATCGAGGCAGTGGCACCATAAACAACTGTTTCCACCTTGTTGGGCCTCATCAGCATGGCATAACCGTCTAGCCGATGAACGGACAAAGCTGTGTATCAAAGGTCCTTTACTACCGAGGCGAGTGCGCGTGCAAGGGCACTCCATACCGCTGAGTTGTTATGTGTGCTTCAGTGCTGAAACTGGTATTATTCACACTCGTTAGCTTGGGGTATATGTGCTAAAACGATGAAATTCCACTGGCCCAAGAACAAGACTTTAGAACAGGAATTTAGTGGGCAGCAAAAGATGAAACTTGTCTTTATCTCACGTTCGCAATTCGCAAACCACGATATTCCATTCCCCAGTTAACAGTCACTTGTAACGCGATATCTTTTCACCTAAAGGTCACGTTTAGCGTCATCCAAAGCACGAAAAGATAAAAAAAAGGTATAACATTATTTCCTTCTTTATTAATACATGACAAAAGGCCGCCTAAGGCTTAGGCACTTCCTTCTTACTTCAGACAAACTATGAGTGGCCGACGCCATGTCCTGTGTGACGTCACCCTGGCGTAATGAGACCAGTTCCATAGTCACTTGTGCCTTCTTCGAAAGTTTACTTTCCTCGCTTTCCTGTAGGTGAAAGATAAGCAAATTAATCCGCACCTCTTTTCGGCGAAAGCGTTTGTCTTGTCAAGGACAAAATGACCAGTTTTTGAAAATCGCTCAAAAGTAATATTCAATTTAAACAAGATCACAAAATATACCTGTGGACTCATTAGGCAGACCTGCCAAGATTTATCGAATGTTGCACGCTTGGGTGCTTCGATTGATTGTATTCTGGTATAGGAGTGACCGAGAGAGATTGCTCTGGTGAAACCTTTCATCTCATCAGTAGTCACAGGGCGACTACTATAACCGGGGTTACCTAGACGAAGTTGACCGATTGGATGACAGGAAAATAACAATGCATTCCGAGAAAGTTAGTTGTCAATCAAAACTACCACGACAAGAAATCAACAACATGGATCGAATTCAACCAATTATAACCTAACGACGTGACGTTTTGAACCCTAACTGAGGAGTCCGTTAGAGTCTTGAGGGAGGCGAAAAATGTAAACGTCCGGTATATTGTATTTTATTGCAAAGAGCGGCAATGGTAGCGAAGAAATTGCTGGTAGATGACAAAATATCAGCCTGTGTCAAACAAATACGTCTCCGGGTGTTATATGAAAAGTTTCGGATTGAAAAACATAGTCTGGTGAAACATTCTGCTTTCTTGATAAACGTTTGCTATCAGTATTTAAATTTAGTACTTCGAGTAACTTATTGTTTCCTTACGACCCGCTGATTGGCCCACAACCAACTTTCTTGGAATGTATTGTTATTTTCCTGTAATCTGATTGGTCAACTTTGTCTAAGTGGCCCTGGTTACAGCAGTCGCACTGTAAACATACATTGAAAAATTTAATTCTTTCTCAGACGGTATTGTGGACCTAATCAATGACTCGATCAGCATGTGATTTCTAGAGTTTTCTTGTTGGCTTATTTCAGAGCACGGTCAATAAAGGTGTGGACTTTTTCTTTCGCGGAAAATTGTTACTTATTTCTCAGCAAATTTCCTCATTGACTGCATGCCTTATCCAGGTTCAGTATTCTTGGTTTTCACATGACTTCACCAAAATTCAAACTAAGAAACTATCGCTTCTTCTAAGTTTCTACTTTCATGTGATACTAGAGCACCTTAAAACCTTTATACTAAAAAAAATTTCGGTTCAAAAGGGTTCTTTGTTTTGCGATACAGGACGCTTGAATTTCCAGGCGTTTGCGTGACGCAGCATTTAGCTGGCGGCTGGGAAAGCTCTTATGTGGGTTAAAAACATTACGGATTTTTGGAGATTTTTCTATCTAAAGATTCCTTGTCTTAGAATGAATATTACTTTAATCTTTATGAATTCCTCAAGCGAAGAATTCACGCATAAGTATGAAAACTCAAAAACAGATGTTTCTGTTGGTTTCCTTCGGCCATATTGTACCCCTGACAGGGACACAAACATGGCGTCTCCATACAAAGCTTTATAAATTTAGGTAAAACGTTTTTCCGAAAATCTGGCACACCAACTTTTGCATAGACCTGATTCTTGGCAAGGTTTTTTGTATATTTATCTTCTTTCATTTCCCGGATTCTAGACTTTCTGTATTAAAAGGTTTCCATTTTTATTTCTCCTTTCTCACGTGAGTGTAAACCAAGAATAATTAAATTTAAGAAAAGTGAAATGAAATAGTCGAAATAGACAAGTATTTCCTAGTACAGGATGGCCTTGGAAAGTCGAGGCCAGCTCTTCTCGGACCTCATCATTGCTTTCTTCTGATAACAGAGTCAGTTCTGATATTTCATGTGATTGTTTGCTTTCCTGCGTGGAAAAATAAAATTAAAAGTAAACAAAATACCTTCATATATAAGTCTACTTCTGGCCGTTCTCTCTCTCTCGATCAAAATTTTGTTTTGTGATAAGCCTACTTGATCCCCAAACGACTCTCTCTTTCATTTTTCAAAACGTCTTTGTAGTTGACTTTTTTCAAAAAGTGGTGATGCTCTGTTCCCGAAAAGTGATATTATTAGAGGCAATTCTTACATATTAAGCACAAATTAACTAGATTTAAAATATTTTAGCCCTAAACTGGCTGAGTAGTTTCTTACTTCGTTGTCGAGATAACAAGAGGTCGACGCTGTGCCCTCACTGGTATCCTGTAATAATGGAGTCTTCTCCATGCTCACTGGCAATTGTGTTTTCTCCGCTTGCTTAATCTGTTCCTTAGCCACTTTGCTAACCTGTGTGAAGGGAAGCAAGAAAGTGAAAATTTCACAGACACGCCGTTAGACTGTTCACAGTCCTCTATTTTTCCGTAATATCATTTAGATCGAGCGCTTTGTGTTACGGGCTACCATCTTGCGTGAGTGTCAAAACTACCTAGGGGGCGGGGGCGGTTTGGGAAGAAGCGAGAAAAATATTTTTCTCACCCTTTCCCCGCCCCAGAGCTATA